GGCGGCGATGATTGGATCCTCAACAACGAGGTGGTGGTCATCCGAGAGCTGGGAATCACCAACCTCGTCCGTCACAGCGGCGCACCAACCATTCACTCAGCCCCGCCGGAGAAGCGTCTTCTACTCTATATCCTCACCCGGATTCTTCGCCCCCGGGACGGCAGCCACACGTGCCTCTTCAACGAGGATCTCAAGGCCGTTCATGCTATCACCCATGGCGCCTCAATCAATTGGGCAAAATACGTCATGATTCACATGGCAGATTGCACCTCCATCACCAACGAGCGGAGCTTGCCATACGCCTTTCTCATCATGGATCTCATCGTCGCCTCCAACATCCACATCGCTGGCCCGGACACGAAGATGACAAAGCTGTGGATCATCCAAGATAGCACCTTCCGGAAGAAGTCCGGAGACCAAGGCGGCGCCGGACCGAGTCGTGCCCGTGCCCCTGCCCCCGCTCCCGCCCGAGCCTCGTTGCAATCCATAGCCGATACTCTAAATCGGCTAACCCTCACAGTGGATGGCATGGGGCAGTCAATCGAGCGAATGGACTGGACGTTGCAACGCCAACACCACGACATGATGGCATACTTCCGTGGCGTCAACTACATTCCGCCACCATTTGACAGCACCATTCTCGGCCAAAACTTTGAAGGCGAGGATGAGGACGACAACTCATACGCTCCGTCCTCCTCCCCCGACGAGGCCGACTTTGAGGACGCGGTCGACGGGGATCCCATGGACGTCGAGGACGACGAGGATGACGAGAACGAAGACGATGACGCCGAGGACGAGGACGCCGCTGCCTAGACTCTTCTCTCTCTCCTTTCCCTACTTTGATTGCAATTTTTTTATCTATTTCAATTCCGTTGTATTCTGCATTTTCTCACCTTTTAATGAATAAAAGTTTACTTTTAATTCCTAAAGTTCACTTTTAATTCTTTTTGTTAATGTCAAAAGGGGGAAGATATCAAGGTTATGCATAAATTGAGGGGGAATTTCTTTTCAAATAAAATGGCATCTATTAAGGGGGAACGTTTTTTTTCTCAAAGCCTTCCTTATATGCATAACCTCATCTCGTTTGCCATTATCAAAAAGGGGGAAATTGTTGAAACACGGGCATGTCACGTTTTCGTACTAAACCCGTGTTCGTTTTTTGTATCAGGTTTAGATAATGCCAAACCGCCGTGATCAAGACAAACATTGAATATACAAGGCGAAGAACGAAAATAAAGAACAAGAGCTAAAAGAGACCAAGAACGAAGACCGCAGTCTTTAGTAATGTTGAGTCGGTCATAATTGTAATCAAGACCGACCCAACCCTCACGCATTGGCTCTTTAGGCTAAAACCTTTCACTGCACTTCTTACATCATAAAAATGTTTTTCAAACTTGTTTAAGCCATTAAAAACACTTGGTGTTCGCCCAAACCAAAAACCAAGCCATCCAGCGTTCGGGTTTCAGAAACCGGCGCTCGGCTCTCGGTTATCGGCTATGGTTTTTGGCGTCCGAACCAACCGAGTGGTTTTCAAATTTTTATGATTGGTTTTCACTCTTTGGCATGATTAAACGGTTCTCCAACAAAAACACTTTGAAAACCATCGTTTGCTTTTGGTCGTTTGACAAAAATCATACAAAACGGCATGAACTTGGCTAGCCGTGGTTTTCACTCAAATGACGTGGTTTTTAAAGTGTCTTACTTAATTTCTTAGCCAAATACATCAAATAAGTGTTTTAAACACTTGGTTTTTATTTTGGAAAACTTTGGATTTTTCGGTCGGTTTTTGCATCGGTTGGCTAGGCCGTGGTTAAGGCAAAAACCATGGGTTCTTGACTAACCACCCACCCAGCGATGGGAAGATCTTCCCATCGATGGGTAAGCGGTCCCTTAGCCAAACCAATTTCCAGAACCATGCCAAACAGCGAAGGGAAGTTCTACCCATCGCTGTTCAAGCCTTGGTGCAAAATTATCACAAGGCAGAACGACCTTGCCCAGCGATGG